TTTTTTTTTTTTTTTTAAATGTTTTTTTTTTTTTTTTTTTTTTTTTTTTTTTTTTTTTAGGGGGGTTTGGGGGGGGGGGGTTCATTGATGGTGTGCTTATTTTTTAAAAATTTGATTGATAATATGTCTTTTTTTAAAAATTAGATGCGTTATTCTCAAAGTTCCTGCAGCATTATCACTAAACATTGATTCGGTGCCAGAGTAGTACTGGGGGATAACCCATGGTCCAGCAACTTTTCGAGTTCTCGAACTTAACATAACTGTCACAGCGCTGCAAGAAAGAAATATGTAGACTTTTGATGATGCCTCAGATATCTTTGGCTTATGTTTACATTTAGACTGTTTTGAAGTGAGGATACAAAATACGTAAATTAACGTAAACACATACACACAAACATTTTTGCTCAGCTGTGCAAAGCATCCAATGTTTCAATGAGGCTAAACAGAAGTATTTTTTTATTTTTTGGATATGCTCAATGTATACGTAGTGGACCTGCGCCTAGTCCCTTCTACTGTACTGGACATACACCAGTTTTTTTCTTATTGTAGTGGAGCTTTGCCAAGTCCTTTGCTAAAATGAACCTCTTCTAGATGAGCGCACTAATGTCGTGTAGTTTTAAAAAAAATGGCTACGCGTGTCTGGCACATCTCTATTTCAATGCTGTCCCTCTATTTGTACAGTTTGTCATTGGAAGCTGGTGAAGCAAGAACGAGAATCTTCTGCCGATATTGAAGCTTTTGATTTGAAGTGAGTTTGAGAGTCAGGTGTGACAGATGTGACAGATGTGACAGACGTGACAGCCGAAGCAGCCGATGAATGAAGCATTGCAGTTGAAAAGTGTTTAATTTTTTCCCAGGTTTTTATAAAGATAAAATTAATGCATGCGTGTTAAAGAAATAAGACCAACAGCGCCAAGTTTTTTTATATTTTTTTGAAAACATGATAAACGACCAGCAGAGACAAAGCGCTTGTCAATCGAAAACTTGAGCTAAGAAGAAATAATCAGTAAGCGTTTGAAGGTAACAAATAATAATGATTAAATCTAGAGTTTATTTCGCTGAAATGCATTGTTATTTGAGTAATGCAGTCGAGATTGTCATTCTAGGACTGGCTTAGTAAGCCACTCGTCGAAGTGCAGGACTACATAGCTACTCCATCGTCTCGCGGGGTGCCATATGATTGCTATTTAGTCCAAGAATATCTGTCTTCTTGTTTATCCACTTTTCACATTCCATCCACATAATATCATACTCGATATTGAATCGTTTTTTCTATCTCAAATTATACGCAATTTTTAAAAAAAATTAAAGTAATCGAGGTCTTAAGGGTGGTATTTAATGACATTACCTGTGTCACTTCCGCAGTTGAATATTTCTACAATTTCCTGTTAGCTACATATGGTATGCGTATACAACACGCTAAGAGTATTTTGTTTTGTTTTGAACTGTTTTTTGATGTCCAAGGCTTTCTTGCAGAAGCGTTCACTACATGGTTTTGTCATTCTTCGGATGTTTCCTCTATCCTTTATATATTTCATTTGCGCTGCCTATGTTTTCAATCGGTTCTATTGTTGGTTTTCTATAGCCTGAAAAATAACCTAAGTCTGGTGGCCACCGACCCATATGAAGCGTTTCCTGATAACCAAGCTGCCTGGGTGAGATTCGGACGTTTCTTTTCACAGGTGAGACAGTTGTTCCCCAGTTTAACTAGTAACTTAACACAGGTGAGACAGTTGTTCACCAGTTTATCTAGTGACCTTACACAGGTGAGACAGTGGTTCTCCAGTTTAACTAGTGACTTTACACAGGTTTGAGTTGCTCACTAGTTAAACAGTTGATTCTAACATCAATAATAATTTTACAAATTTGAAACCCTAACAGTCGAAATACTCCGTGATCCCAGATGTCGCCATCGCGAAGATGACACATCTTTTTTAATGCGTTCCCAAATCTGGTAAGTTGCCCAAGTCTGGTAAGTTGTCCAATTCATGGTAAGTTGTCCAATTGATGGTAAGTTGTCCAATTTCTGATAAGTTGTCCAAATCTGGTTAATTGTCCAATTGATGGTAATTTGTCCAATTGATAGTAAGTTGTCAAATTTCTGGTAAGTTGTCCAAATGTGGTAAGTTGTCCAATTTATGGTAAGTTGTCCAATTTCTGGTAAGTTGTCCAATTTCTGGTAAGTTGTCCAATTTCTGGTAAGTTGTCCAATTTCTGGTAAGTTGTCCAATTTCTGGTAAGTTGTCCAATTTCTGGTAAGTTGTCCAATTTCTGGTAAGTTGTCCAATTTCTGGTAAGTTGTCCAATTTCTGGTAAGTTGTCCAATTTCTGGTAAGTTGTCCAATTTCTGGTAAGTTGTCCAATTTCTGGTAAGTTGTCCAATTTCTGGTAAGTTGTCCAATTTCTGGTAAGTTGTCCAATTTCTGGTAAGTTGTCCAATTTCTGGTAAGTTGTCCAATTTCTGGTAAGTTGTCCAATTTCTGGTAAGTTGTCCAATTTCTGGTAAGTTGTCCAATTTCTGGTAAGTTGTCCAATTTCTGGTAAGTTGTCCAATTTCTGGTAAGTTGTCCAATTTCTGGTAAGTTGTCCAATTTCTGGTAAGTTGTCCAATTTCTGGTAAGTTGTCCAATTTCTGGTAAGTTGTCCAATTTCTGGTAAGTTGTCCAATTTCTGGTAAGTTGTCCAATTTCTGGTAAGTTGTCCAATTTCTGGTAAGTTGTCCAATTTCTGGTAAGTTGTCCAATTTCTGGTAAGTTGTCCAATTTCTGGTAAATTGTCCAATTTCTGGTAAGTTGTCCAATTTCTGGTAAATTGTCCAATTTCTGGTAAGTTGTCCAAATGTGGTAAGTTGTCCAATTTCTGGTAACTTGTCCAAATGTGGTAAGTTGTCCAGTTTATGGTAAGGTGTCTCATTTCTGGTAAGTTGTCTAAATCTGGTAAGTTGTCCAATTGCTGGAAAGTTGTCCAAATGTGGTAAGTTGTCCAATATATGGTAAGTTGTACAGTTTCTGGTAGCTGTCCAAATCTGGTAAGTTGTTCAATTTATGGTAAGTTGTCCAATTTCTGGTAATTTGTCCAAATGTGGTAAGTTGTCCAAATCTGGTAAGTTGTCCAAATCTGGTAAGTTGTCCAAATCTGATAACTAAGAAAGTTAAGTTTAATAACCCCGTTACAAAAACAATTTGAAGTTTTACCGAAATCCCTGGTGGCCTGGATGGCGTTTAGGCTTTTCCTGGTAACAAACCAATTTCCTCAATTACCTGATAAATGTTTTCCTTTTAAAAAAAACTCTGTAGGTGAGCCCCCTGCTGTATCACGTGCCCATCTTCCGGGACATGGTGTGGAGAACGCTGGAGGAATTTAGAGAGGCCAACGTGCTCTACTTGGAAATTAGAGGATCCTTCACAGGGGTGAGTTTGTTTGATAGCAGCCTGGGAGATGTACTTGGAAATTAGAGGAACCTTCACAGGGTTGATTTTGTTTGATAGCAGCCTGGGAGATGTACTTGGAAATTAGAGGAACCTTCACAGAGTTGATTTTGTTTGATAGCAGCCTGGAAGATGTACTTGGAAATTAGAGGAACCTTCACAGAGTTGATTTTGTTTGATAGCAGCCTGGGAGATGTACTTGGAAATTAGAGGAACCTTCACAGGGTTGATTTTGTTTGATAGCAGCCTGAGAGATGTACTTGGAAATTAGAGGATCCTTCACAGAGGTGAGTTTGTTTGATAGCAGCCTGGAAGATGTACTTGGAAATTAGAGGAACCTTCACGGGGTCGAGTTTGTTTGATAGCAGCCTGGGACATGTACTTGGAAATTAGAGGAACCTTCACAGGGTTGAGTTTGTTTGATAGCAGCCTGGGAGATGTACTTGGAAATTAGAGGAACCTTCACGGGGGTGAGTTTGTTTGATAGCAGCCTGGGAGATGTACTTGGAAATTAGAGGAACCTTCACAGGGTTGAGTTTGTTTGATAGCAGCCTGGGAGATGTACTTGGAAATTAGAGGAACCTTCACAGGGGTGAGTTTGTTTGATAGCAATCTACCCCACATCTTCGGCTGACGTATAAATCCACACTATTTAAGAGCCATACGTTTTACCATAATTAAAACTGTCTCTTGTTTTAATATTTTTATTGTTCGCCCTTCGCACGTGAAGAAAACCACGGCAATTATCGACTTGAAATCCTTTTACCATATATATATATAATTTTCAGCTATTCTTTAACTATTTCCCGTGCTTAAAATAAACTATCTCTGCAGAGAATATTTTTTTAGGGGGGGTAAGGGGGGGGGGTAAAATTATACTTCTCTTACGAGTCGTGGATTTCGCTTTCGGGGAAAAAATGAAGTTAATTTAAAAGATCGTTTTATGGGCGTCCAGCTGGTAGCTCTAGGTCGGCTTAAGATGTCCAGCTGGTAGCTCTAGGTCGGCTTAAGATGTCCAGCTGGTAGCTCTAGGTCGGCTTAAGATGTCCAGCTGGTAGCTCTAGGTCGGCTTAAGATGTCCAGCTGGTAGCTCTAGGTCGGCTTAAGATGTCCAGCTGGTAGCTCTAGGTCGGCTTAAGATGTCCAGCTGGTAGCTCTAGGTCGGCTTAAGATGTCCAGCTGGTAGCTCTAGGTCGGCTTAAGATGTCCAGCTGGTAGCTCTAGGTCGGCTTAAGATGTCCAGCTGGTAGCTCTAGGTCGGCTTAAGATGTCCAGCTGGTAGCTCTAGGTCGGCTTAAGATGTCCAGCTGGTAGCTCTAGGTCGGCTTAAGATGTCCAGCTGGTAGCTCTAGGTCGGCTTAAGATGTCCAGCTGGTAGCTCTAGGTCGGCTTAAGATGTCCAGCTGGTAGCTCTAGGTCGGCTTAAGATGTCCAGCTGGTAGCTCTAGGTCGGCTTAAGATGTCCAGCTGGTAGCTCTAGGTCGGCTTAAGATGTCCAGCTGGTAGCTCTAGGTCGGCTTAAGATGTCCAGCTGGTAGCTCTAGGTCGGCTTAAGATGTCCAGCTGGTAGCTCTAGGTCGGCTTAAGATGTCCAGCTGGTAGCTCTAGGTCGGCTTAAGATGTCCAGCTGGTAGCTCTAGGTCGGCTTAAGATGTCCAGCTGGTAGCTCTAGGTCGGCTCAAGATGTCCAGCTGGTAGCTGTAGCCCTGTTTAAGTGTGAACGCACGGCAAAAAAAAAACAAAATTGTCTAATGAAGCTGCTTGTGGTAGCATTCAACTTGACATCAGCAGGAGCTGGCTTAAACAATGGCATGATGTAACTGTGTGAGAGCAACATCACCGGTAAAGTGTCTATACATCCTCTCTCTCCCAGCTGTCCGAGCTGGACGGGACCGTACATGACATGAGGTACGGCGTGCTGCTGGTCAAAAACATCTCAGACGAGTTCGTCAAGAAGTATCCAGATTTTATTGGCGTTAAAGTCATTCCGTCTGGATTAAGGTTAGTGTTCACTGGCTTATGATAAACTGACTTTAGGTCAGGGTTAAGGTTATGGTTAGCGGTAAGGTTAGCATTAAGGTTAATTTTCAGTGACTAATGGTAAAATGGCTTTAGGTCAGGGTTAAGTTGCTAAAGGTTAATCTCAACTGTTTTTATTTTTAATTTTAAAGCAAAAGCAACTGCATGCTTTCTTTAAAGCCATTTCAACACAGAAAATTAAACGCCAGAACAATTTCCTTAACATAACATTTTATTATAAGTCATAAGCTTTTTTCTGTGTAACATTTAATGTATAGGAAATAGGTTTAGCTTATGGAGCAAAGACTAGAAACTAATACCATGAATTGAACTAGATAGAAGTTTTGTTACTACGTGTAATGAAAGAGATGCAAGACTCTTTTAATGGACATTTCTATATAAATGTTATTTAATATTTTATTCAATATTTCTTTTACGTTATTTTTTTTTTTTTTAATTATTGAAAAATCTTTAAAGAAACAAACAGGTGTCTCAAATCCTGGAGGAAGTGAAAACGACCATGGCGCTTCATAAGGAATTCCCGGATGTGGTGTCGGGTTATGACTTGTCAGGCAACGAGGCTCTCTACAAACCGTTGTCCTACTACAGTGAAGCCCTGCTGTACCCTAGTCAACAGGACCCGCCCTATCACCTGCCTTACTTCTTCCACGCCGGTGAAACCCGTGAGTCGAGTTTAGGGAGCTGATTCTGTTGTGGACGTGAGCGGAATGTGTTTGTTTCATTGGAGATCGGAAGCGATCTTAACGGATTGACCTAGTTTGTGAGGCCTAAATGAGTTCGATGGGTTTAAAACCTAATCAATGCAGATCGAAGTTTAATTAGTCGTTTGAACTATATTGGGCAGATAAAATGGATTCTACTCGATTTACCAAAAAAAGTTATAGATATTGATACCGGACCTAATCACTGGTGAACAAACAGAAATTTCTATGGTAAAAATTATTACTTCATAGTATAGGATTACAGAACAGATAAAAAATATACAGGAAAAGTCATCGCTAGTTTTTTGCTAGGGTTGGTGGCCCCAACAACTTTATTGCTAGGGTTGGTGGCCCCAACAATTTTATTGCTAGGGTTGGTGGCCCCAACAATTTTATTGCTAGGGTTGGTGGCCCCAACAATTTTATTGCTAGGGTTGGTGGCCCCAACAATTTTATTGCTAGGGTTGGTGGCCCCAACAATTTTATTGATACTACAGTGAAGCCCTGCTGTACCCTAGTCAACAGGACCCGCCCTATCACCTGCCTTACTTCTTCCACGCCGGTGAAACCCGTGAGTCGAGTTTAGGGAGCTGATTCTGTTGTGGACGTGAGCGGATTGTGTTTGTTTCATTGGAGATCGGAAGCGATCTTAACGGATTGACCTAGTTTGTGAGGCCTAAATGAGTTCGATGGGTTTAAAACCTAATCAATGTAGATCGAAGTTTAATTAGTCGTTTGAACTATATTGGGCAGATAAAATGGATTCTACTCGATTTACCAAAAAAAAGTTATAGATATTGATACCGGACCTAATCACTGGTGAACAAAGAGAAATTTCTATGGTAAAAATTTTTACTTCATAGTATAGGGTTACAGAACAGATAAAAAATATACAGGAAAAGTCATCGCTAGTTTTTTGCTAGGGTTGGTGGCCCCAACAATTTTATTGCTAGGATAAAAAATGAATTCTTGATACTAAGATTGTAATATTCATGTTTTACTATGCACATGTCCTGCCTGTTTACAGCCTGGCAGGGCACTGAGACAGGGTTTAACCTGGCAGACGCAATTTTGCTTAACGCCACCCGTGTTGGGCACGCCTATGCTTTGAGCAAACACCCCAAATTTCTTAAGTTGATTCTACAGAAGGGGATCCCTGTTGAGGTGCAGCCTATTTCAAATCAGGTGAGTTCTATCTGTCGAGTGGCAAACAACTTCCAATCAGGTGAGTGCAATCTGGGACAACCCATTGCCAATCAGTGAGTCCATCTGTTTAGGTGCAATCATATCATGCAACCCATATCCTATCAGCTCAGTTTAAAGAAACTATATTTTTTAAGTGATGAAAATGTGGGGGAGATGTTGAAGGAGGGGGATGGGGGGGGGGGAGACAACATAAAATATAATAAATTAAATTCTTGACACTCTTGACAATTTAAAAACGGTTATGTTAACTGATCTATGGGCTACAGCAATCGTGAATCAACAACATTGCACAATTTCTCTCGACTCTCTACCAGGTTTTACGCCTGGTCAGCGACTTCCGTAATCATCCGATGGTGTCACTGATGGCCCAGAACCTGTCTTTGGTCATTAGCTGCGATGACCGCACCACCATGGAATCGGCACCGCTGTCCCATGACTTCTTCGTGGCGTTCACGGCCATGTCCAGCGAAGACGCTGATCTGACCCTCTTGAAACAGCTGGCCATCAATTCCATCAAGTGAGCACACTGTCGAAAATTAACTCATTGATTAGCTTGGTGAAGTCAAATAATATTTTTATTTGTATATATTTTTAAAAAATCCTTTATATAAAATTGACTTTTATTGACAAAATCTTCGGGCGGCTAATTGACCCACTTCCCGTCAACCCATTGAGCTGAAATTTGGTACACAGACTCGTTCCCGATGACAAAAAATTTAGCCCCAAATTTTTGAGCCCCACATCCAAACCCCTAACCATAATTTTTATTGTCCTGTTCATCAAATGGAAGATGAAGGGAATATGATCACGGCGGTTTCGCAAAATAAATATTCCAATAACTGAGCTAACTGAGATTCCCTTTTTTTTTTTTTTTTAAATATCGCAAGTGCGTTTGGTGCGCAATCTATTTTTGTTGTCCTGAAATAGTAGGTGAAATCAATCTGCGGCATGAAAGCGGGTGGGACATTAGAAAATTAATATTAGTTCAGGGGCGTGTAAGAAAATGTGCGGTTGCAAGCTCTTGCGATGGGGTTGGGTTTGGGGAGCGCTAATTGGTATTCTTATACAATGCCTTACTTGTATGCATGTTTTGTCAAATTGTCAGCTCCACACCCCCCCCCCAAACCTCAAATCGCTTCACATTAAAATTTGTAAATGATTTAAACGGAAAACTTTGTTTTTAGTTTGTTTTTTGTTTTTTTAATTTTCCCGCATTCTTCCTTCGGCGTTTAAAGCGTTTCGTTCAACAACTAAAAAAAATAGTATAGTTTAAAATAGAAAAGTTATAATATAAATAAATTTCTATACGTATGTTTCGGCTTCTTGGTGTAGCGTTTAAAATGACCGTCCCCCATTTTCAGATTCAGCACTCTCGACCCCAAAGAAAAAGAAAAGGCGATGCAACTATGGCAGACGCAGTGGAACACATTTATCGCTGACGTGGTCCACCAATCGGGGTTAGTTCCGTCTCCAACCGTTCGTCACAACATGGCTGCTCGGTGTTCTCAAAATAGTGGAGCAACGCTCTTTGCTTTCGTGGCTGTCGTCATTCTAAACAAAATTTAAATGGATCCCGGATAAGAAGAAAATAAATATGATTGTCGTCTATCTAGGGAAATTGCAAATTGGCGGTGAAGAAAGATGACGCCATTACAGGCAAATAAACTCACATCGTTTTATTGAGAAGGGCTGTATAGTAAATAATTTACCACCTTGAACTGTAAAAAAAATAATAAACAAGATTTAAGAGAGTTTTTTCTTAAAAATTTTTATACATGAATATTCTTGGTACACGTCTTTTAAACGAAATGCTGGTATGATGTCCAGATATGTCTGTCAATAAATGACGTCATTTTTGTCCCCCCTTCCCTCTCCCCGCCCCCCACCCCCACCTTCCCCACCATCCCCTCCTCTGCCCGATGTGGGTAAAGGGTTTTATATTTTTGAACGTAAGATAAGATAAAGAGAAGATAAGATAAGATTCTTCATCCATTAAAATAAATGGAAATGTTCTTTTTTTTAAACTACATTGTATATATCCATTTGCAGCACATAAATAAATATATGTTTTTTATCCAAGACAACAGTTTATAATTAAGGGGGGGGGGGTTGGGTAGTTGTTGGAGGGGGGCATTGAGAGACCTGGGTTCTGGATACTTTTAGAATTTAAATAAAATGCGGTCCATTGTCATAGACTAATTAGTTTAATGACCATTTTAAATGAATGTCCATTCCCAATTGTGAATATCGAATTTTTTTTTAATATTTTTTTTAGCGAAAACTAAAAAAAGGTTTCCAAGGGGAGACATCGCTCGAAATTCTCCTTTTAACTAAATTTTTTTCTCCCACAACACCAGAATGCATGATAATGTTGGGACGTAGCTTAGAAAGTGGGAGTAGAGAAGAAGAGCCATTTCGGTGCACGTGGCCCGCATGCAGCAGGAAGCCAACAGAGAAGTAGCTCAAAGAGAAATCCAGACTAGGTCCACGCCACTATGAACCCATCGCATCACCACGAGCAGTTCATGATCCGGCAGTGTCTTCATCGGGCCTAACCATTAATTAGTTATGAAAATATTGTGAACAGGTTCTGGTTTCTTCAATTGTGCCAATAATTTTTTTTTCATTTTTGTCTTTCCAATTTTTTTTTAAAACTTCCAACCATCCTCAACTACTCTGAACCAATTAAATACCAGTAACATTTAAAGTGTTTCTAAAATTATTGAAGCGTTCTAAAGATGCATTTTATAAAGTCGGATGTACCTGACTGTTATTTTCAACACCTTATTTCTGAAACAAAATAGAACAATTCCGTTCATACAGATTGTGATTATTTGTGACAGAACTGTCCCAACTTGTAGGACATAAATGTACCACTATGAAAGGGATCACTGGAGGAGACGAGAAACGTTAGTTCGGCGTTCCCAGTAGGTGGTAGTGCCAACTTTACGACAGAGTGGTGTCTCTTGATAATTTAAAAACATATTTTTTTTTTAAAACATCTGTTTTTGAGTTCTTGAAAAGGCGCGTTGCAGCGTATCAAAGAGTCTCCTTAAAAGTTGTGTTACAGTTGCATGATTATGGAACGACGCACCTCAAACTCAACAATATAAGACCACTTATTATTATTATTATTATTTCAAAATTCATTACACATCTGGACTATATTTACGTAACTGCTTGATATATGTATTTGGTGAGTTCCTCAGCCCCACCACCCACACACCCGCCCCCCCCCACCAAGCAAACCTCCCAGCCACCTCAGCAGACGTCTCTGTGACTTTTTATTTATCTTTTATGTAGCATCAAGAGGAAGTCACGTGATTGTATTTGATATAAAGCTGGGGAGGGGGGTGAGGTGTGTGCGGGTTGCTGGGAAGGGGTCTGTGGGTGGTTGGGGGGCGTTGTGTTGGTGGTTTAATGACCATAAACTTGATCATAAACGTGACCACGAACGTGATTGTAAACATGACCATAAACCTGACCATATATGTGACCATGAACGGGACCATAAGCATGACCATAAATGTGATCTTGAACGTGATCATAAACATGACCATAAATGTGACCATGAACGTGACCATAAACGTGACCTTAAACGTGACCATGATCGTGATCATAAACATGGCTGTAAATGTGACTATAAACATGACCATAAACGTGACCATAAATGGGACCATGAACGTAACCATAAACTTGACCATAATAAACATGACCATAAACGTGACCATGGACGTGACCATAAACGTGAGTCTGTCTTTAAAGGCCCTTATTTGACTTTCATTCGCTGGTCGATTATGAGGATTAAGGCCGTCTTCCTGCACGGAATGCCATGACGTATGAAGGTAATTAAAGCAGACCAGTCAAAAAGCTATCAAACTTAAGCACACTCCCCATGACTGCTATAACTGTAATGCAGAAGACCATCACACTTAAGCACACTCCCCATGACTGCTATAACTGTAATGCAGAAGACCATCAAACTTAAGCACACTCCCCATGACTGCTATAACTGTAATGCAGAAGACCATCAAACTTAAGCACACTCCCCATGACTGCTATAACTGTAATGCAGAAGACCATCAAACTTAAGCACACTCCCCATGACTGCTATAACTGTAATGCAGAAGACCATCAAACTTAAGCACACTCCCCATGACTGCTATAACTGTAATGCAGAAGACCATCAAACTTAAGCACACTCCCCATGACTGCTATAACTGTAATGCAGAAGACCATCACACTTAAGCACACTCCCCATGACTGCTATAACTGTAATGCAGAAGACCACAAACAAATACATTATTCTAATTCACTTACATATGCTGCTGTCAGAGGCTGTCAACTGTTGTATTTTGTTGACACATAAATTTACATATTATTAATCTTTAATAATGGCTAACATTTTAGAAAATAGATCAGTCAGTAACTCGGTAAGAAATCTTCCAGATATTTTATCGATGTAAAAATCCGTATGATGTCACGTGACCATAAAGTTTGAGCTTACTTTATAACGTCCTTTTATTGAATGGCAACCCTGGCAGCCTTGGCAACCCGTGGCAACCCTTGGCAACCCTTGGTCAGTAAGTGTTGTCCGAAACAAAAGCAGGGTTCGAAGTAGTGAGATGGTAGTGGGTCGAAGTACACGGTACATAAGGTGGTGTATAGGGTGATGTAGGTGGGTGCGGGGTAATGTTTTTGGGACGTAAGGTGGGTGCAGCGTGCAGGGTTGTGTATAAGGGACGTAAGGTGGGCGCGGAATGCAGGGTTGTGTATAAGGGACGTAAGGTGGGCGCGGAGTGCAGGGTTGTGTATAAGGGACGTAATGTGGGATGCAGAGTGCAGGGTTGTGTATAAGGGACGTAAGGTGGGCGCAGAGTGCAGGGTTGTGTATAAGGGACGTAATCTGTGTTCAGTGCGATGTAGACGGGGGACTCATTTTCTTTGACGCCGTAAGGCGAAGGCTATTGATCTATACTTAACTTGTCAACATATATTTTAATCCGCTTAATGCCCACCATCATATCTGAGGTAGACGAATCAAAGTGGATCATCGCATAGTAAAATAATTGGTGTCTGAAATCATCTCAAATATTGATGCAGAATATTATTTATTGGGACAGAAAAGAAATGGTCATGTGACATCTGTTTAAAATGAGCCCAATATAAAACCAAAAAAATCATGATAACACTGTTGAAGTCGTGTCCTCAAAAATTATTTTATTATGAATATTAGATATTAAACTGGATTGAGTGTTTGAGAGCTAATGGTTAAAAGCCAGAGGCGGGTCTCTAAAGGGTTCTAAAACAGTCCTCACATCTTGTGTAGTATTAGCTGAGTGTATACGTTTCGTTGTCAGTTACAGAGTATCATCCAGTGTGTTGGGGAGAAATTAGTTTCTTAGACATGAACAACTCTATTCACTGAGCTATCTCGTGATTAGCGTCACGATGAATCTGCATCGTTCAGCACAAGGGTCCTAAACAACTGAACCGTGGACCGGTAACGAAAATGGGCTCGCATGGTGATACTGAGCGCGTTATTTTGTTTGTTTTTTGCGCACTTGAATTAAACCAAATACAGCCCCCTTCCCGCCCCCCCCCCGGGGCCCCCAATTACAGTTTAAAATAAATTCCTTGCCCAAATCGGGTCCATGGTGTCAAAAAAAAAAGTTGGGAACCGCTGGTTTAACATATTTGTTTTCTTACAATGCTCAACATTATTGGTATTCAGTTTGAGAAACATTTAAAATCGAAGCGGCGAGCTCAATAGAAGCCATATTTGTGATCATCCGGTCAACTGTTAGCACATTGGAAGACTGGGCGAGCTGCGAAAAGATGACAGACAAGAGTTTCGAGTCTGAGATTGTCTTAAAACTTTGTACATACGACGAAACTTCAATGGACATTTTTACTTTGCCTTCTGGAGCACCATGAAGACAAACGGACACCACTGACGCCACAGAAGCCGTAGACACGCGCTATCTACACGTGCGTATTCATCAAAGTTCTCACCGCTCATAGGAGAAAGGCGCGTCACCCTCAGAAGGATCCATTAAGGTAAGAGAAATGGTATTCTCTATTTGCAATGGAAATGGTAGAAAAATATATTTGGAAGTTTGAATCGAAAGACAGGACAATGAGAAAAGAACTTTTCAGCTAAGAGCCTTCCTCGGCAGACAAGTCATTGGAAAATACAACAAGAAACAGAAACAAGTTTTTTTTTTTTTTTTTTTTAAATTAGTGTTTGCCTTTGTTTTTGCAGGACATTGGGTTTTTACTAAACCAATATGTTTTTTTTTTTGTGGAAGTAAAGGAATTTATGTATTAATTATGGAAAAAATATGATCTTAACGGATAAAAATAGTTTGGAGATATGTAAAAATATGAAATAAGAAAAGAACAGGAGAATAATTTATTAATTCCATTTAGTAAAATTGTACCGAAATTCTGAACTAGGTCGTTTTTCGGCGGCGCGTTGGTACAGGAAATCAGTGCCATGATGGATACAGTGTTTTATATGGTTTGTTTCGTGTCTTATCTCATCATGGTTTCGTTAGCCAAGTATTTTTGGTAAGAGTTTTTTAAGTCTTCATAATCCATAGCATTAAATTAGCACCCAGGCTATGGTCGC